GAAAAAATGCTTGAACTTTTTGAATTTTTAAAGTTGAAAAATCGTTTCTTTCATTGTTGCGATATTTACTTTTTTTCAACGTGGGTAAATTTTTATTCCGTTCGAAGCCTCGTCGTCACTGTTGAGTTGTTGGGAGTGTTCCCCGCGTGTGTGTATTCGAATAAAGACAAACACAGTTGTATGGATAAATACTGGTATATTTGTAAGAGGTAATTAACAACAGAGTGATTAGTAATAAGGAACGCCGGTTAGTAAGTAACAATAGCAAAAGTCTACAGTCCAACGGTATGTAATGGTAACCTGATCCTTCACACTACACACCTACTCTCTCTAGCACTGACTTATATCGTAGAGGGATAAGTCCATTATCAGTCAGAAGGTGGGTGCACCCCAACAGTTTATTAGTTTTTAGACTACTGTTTATTCTTTGGAGTCGTGATGTGGTTGTATGTAGCATTAAATAAATTTTTCAGCCAGTAAAAACCTTTAAAAAAAATTAAACACAACCCAGTCCCTTTTATGGAAGACGATTTGAAAATTTAGCAGCACAGCTAATCACAGAGTTATATCGTCCAGACAGCACGTCGTTTTACCTGTGCCTATGAGCTTCACTTACCACTACAACAATAAAACGATAAAGGAAAAATAACTGTATAAGAAACTAACTTGTCCCAGTTATGTCCCTTGTTTACAGCAGTCTTCCCCATCCCTTTGATCTATGAATCATTTCCCGTGTTAGTGTTCTTAATAATTTCTGTTCTAGTTCTTTATCTCCTCAGGACTAAAGAAGGAACATGATGGCAACTTTCTATTGAACTACATCTCTACACTTTGATGTATCTACATGTCGTCTCTAGTTTAGGCTATTCTTTATCTGTTCCCCTTTCTCTCGATCTGCAACCCAAAATGAGGCTGCCATGTTTCAAAAAGAAAACGTCTCCCACGCAGATTGACTGCGTTTGGAAAGTTATATAATATTTGATGCGTTCGTTTCTATTGTTAGAAAAGTGAAATGGTTACCCAGGTTCACATTTCTATTGTTAAAAGTCTCTCGTAAATATTTCTACCACCCTTCGTATCTTCTAACAAATGATTCCTTTGTACATGTCGGCCCACATTATGGGCGGAAGATCCTTTGGACTGTGCAAGACGCTTACTGTCAGAAACTGAACGAGGTTATACTCAGATTGAGAAAGAAATGTTGGCAGTAGCGTACGGACTTGAGAACTTTCATCATTACACTAATGGAAGAAAAGTGTGTGTAGTGACAGATCACAAACCCCTGGTGACAATATGTGCAAAGTATTCATGAAAGGCATCCAAGCGATCGTAAAACCAGTTGGGAAGCACACAACATTAAAATATCCGAAAACAATACAAGTCATAAAAAAAAGATAACCCAACCAAACTTCCTTTACTACTTTAAATTTAAAGTGCCTACGCGGCCTTGTGGACGATGAAATATTTTCCACCCATAACCTCTTTCCTAAAGACGAAACGTCGCCATGCCATGTATACGGTGTCGAATCATCCTCATCCCTCTCGTAATTGACTGGTAGGAATGAATTTCCATTTGGACAGCTTCTTTTCAAGAATTGTTAAGCATAAACTCGTGAGCATACATCCCTGATCACTACAATCTTAGTTAGTCTCATAAAATATGAGTTCAACTGTTGTCTATCCTACATATACCCATAATCTGCACTTTTACTCATAATCACTTTTTATGTCCATAAAACAACATCATTCAGTAATCCTCTTAGTTGAGTGAAGATTAGCTCTTGTATCGAGCTGAAGTTGGAATGAAATGCAATGACCCTAATTCGTTCTGCAAGTTGATGACAATTAGTTCTTCACTTTTGTCATTTCTCCCTATAAAAAGGACTGATAACCAACTGAGAAGATTTTATAAAATTAATTATATTTAGAGATATTGGATTAATACGTAATATAAAATATCAGATATAAAATATTTTTATTAAAATTCTGCAGAATGTGAATGAAATGCAATGACACAGTTTTATCTGCAATTTGATGACAACTAATTCTTCACTTTTATCTTTTCTTACCTTAAAAAGGACAGATAAAGAACTGCATAATTTCATCCGATGCCTTCGAAGCGAAAGCTAAGATTTTATTTATCATTATTTCTCTGTTCAGATTTTATAATATCAAATAATGGACAAGATCATGTCACTTGCTTTTTAGCCATGAGAGACAGCAAACCATTCTGTTAAAAGTTGTCACATTGAATATTGTAATCGTTCTATTCAACAAAGCGTTTTTGTTTCATTTGAGACGAGGAATTGTCGCTTGATTTTGATTTATCCCAATAATTAGAACTATTGTCTTCATAGAATTATGAAAATTATTATCATCATATAAAATAAGGTTTATTATTTGTTCATTATTTGGAGACATAATGTGGTTGCATCTAGCGTAATCCATGCCCACTGTATGAATATTTAAGATTTTTGTCTAAAGAAACGACAAGAAAGAAAGTATGTCGATATTATTTGTCTTTTACTTTACTCTTTCCTCCGTCGAATCTCGTCGAGTGAACAAAAATAGAAATGCAATAACGAATATATATATAAAATTTCAGAAAGTGTCTCCGGTAGAAAAAATAAACAAATATTGTCAGTTATTTGCAAATATATTTATTCTATAATATTTCATGCTGATATATAAATTTATTTCATCTTTGTAAAACAATATAATAAAATTGACGATGAATTACGAACCCGATACGAAATTGAAATCTCTCCTCTTCAGTTAATACTAATAGCTTTACGATGATTTCTTCAGAAATTGGGAAAGAAGTTAATTTATAATATTATTACATGTTGATATATAAATCCATTTCAACTTTATAAATAAATACCAGAAAATCGACGATGAATAACGAACCCAATACGAAATTTAAATATCTCATCCTCAGTTAACTCGAATCAAGTCACGATGATTTCTTCGACACAATGAGGAAAAGAGGTTAAATCATGAATATTTTAAACTATAATATAAGCTGCAATTTAGGTTCCATTATTAATAATTTTAATTTCTGAAATTATTTTATTTTGGGTCGAACAAATCATGCAAATAATACAAACTGGACTTGAATGGATTGAGTCATGTACGAAAGAAACAGCGAATATTATGGTAGAAAAGAAATAGTTCAGGTGAATGCAAATTAATTCATCGGTATACACTGAAATATTGGATATGAGATTAGACAAGTAGCAACAATCAACCTTACATACCACATATCAGAACATAATTCTAAGTTTAATGGAATTAGGAAGAGTTTGTCTGTAAAGGGTTCAAAATTGGGTATGAGTTTAGACAAGTAACACAAATCAATATTGCATACGACATATAGGATCATAATTCTAAAAGTAATGAAATTAGGAAGACTCTATCCATAAAGGGGTCAATATTGTGCACGAGTTTAGACTAGTAGCATCAATCAACCTAACATACCACATATAGGAACATATTTCTAAATGTAATGTAATTAGGAGAAGTCGCTCCAAAAAGGGTTCAATATTGGGTATGAGTTTAGAAAAGTAGCATCAATAAAACTTGCATACCAGATATAGGAACATAATTCTAAATGTAATGAAATTAGGAAGAGTCTATCCATAAAGGTCTCAATATTGGGCATGTGATTAGACAGGTATGATCAATCAACCTTGCATACCACATATAAGATCATAATTCCAGGTTTCATATAAGATCAATCAATATTGCATACCATATATAAGAACATAATTCTAAATGTAATGAAATTAGGAAGTGTCCATCCATAAAGGGTTCAATGTTGGGTATGAGAATAGACAATTAGCATCAATCAACCTTGCATACCACATATAAGATCATAATCAATGGAATTGCATATCCCATGAGAATATTAGCATCAATGAACGTTGCATACCACATATAAGATCATAATTCTAAATGTAATGGAATTAGGAAGAGTCTATCCATAAAGGGTTCAATATTGGGTACGAGAATAGACAATTAGCATCAATGAACGTTGCATACCACATATAAGATCATAATTCTAAATGTAATGGAATTAGGAAGAGTCTATCCATAAAGGGTTCAATATTGGGCATCAATCAACATCAATTGCATACCACATATAAGATCATAAATTCTAAATGCAATGAGTAATGGTAATGGAATTAGGAAGAGTCTATCCATAAAGGGTTCAATATTGTAGCATCAATGAACGTTGAATAAGATCATAACAATTAGCATCCATAAAAGGGTCAATCAAATTAGCATCAATCAACGTTGCATAAGATCATAATTCTAAATGTAATGAAATTAGGAGGAGTCTATCCTCAAAGGGTTTAAAATGAGGACAGTTGTCTCTCTGTAAAGGATCATAATAAATAATGGAATTAGGAAGAGTCTATCCATAAAGGGTTCAATATTGTGTATGAGAATAGACAATTAGCATCAATCAACCTTGCATACCACATATAAGATCTAAATGTAATTCTAAATGTAAAGGGTTGATGTGTTTAGACATGTAGAATCAATCTCTTCATACCACATGTAGGGTTCTAAATGTAATGAAATTAGTAAGAGTCTCTCCGTATAGGGTTCGATATTGTGTATTAGTTTAGACATGTAGAATCAATCAACCTTGCATACAACATATAGGATCATAATTCTAAATGTAATAAAATTAGGAAGAGTCTTTCCATAAAGGGTTCAATATTGGGTATGAGATTTGACAAGTAGCAGCAATCGACCTTGCATACAACATATAGGATCATAATTCTTAATGTAATGAAATTAGTAATAGTCTGTCAGTAATGGGTTTAATATTGGGTATGAATTTTGGCATGCAACTAAATAAATCTTGAATGGAATATTGATAGAGAAAAACAATTTTAAATGGAACCGTGAATGTTTCTTTTTTTTTTATTAATTAATTTTTCATGGAATTTCCCATTTCGTTGAAGGTAGACGATTCCACTTGATACGATGCCGGCAATGAATAAAGTACAGGCGGTGAAGTAAAAGATAGAATCGTAAGACTGTGTAGCATCGAACAAAGAACCTGCAAAGATAAGTAGTTATCAGGAACAATTCTTCCTTTAATATTTGTACACAGATATTTACTAATTGTCAATATTTCATCTTTATTTTTATTTGAACTCAATTTAAATCATAAATTTGTTGGGTAAGGTTTAGGCCAATAAAGAACATTTTTCAGGAAGGCAGAAAATAATGATTGATGCTTCACTTCAATTTTTAAAGATTGTAGATGGCAGGAATCAAGAAATCGAAAGATATTTAAAACGGTTAGATCTAGCTATTTCAACAGTAGAATGATCAGACCTTATAGGCAAACTATTAGAACTACTCTTAAATTCATGCGAGTTGAGGTACCAAGGTTGGGTAGCTGATACAAATAATTGCAATGAAGATATTTATAGAAAAGTCAGAGGGAAGCCATATTACGATGGTTGTAAAGTGACTCAAGTCGAGAAACCAGTTTTGGAGGCGTTCAAATTTACAAGTCATTTCTTGTCCCAGTTAACAAATGACTGGATGTAATTGTCGAAATCAGCTGCTAGTTTTAGTTTATCAGATCTATCCGACAGGAAAAATAGTTATGTTATTAGCGTAAATATCCAGTTGCGAAGTGATGACATCAGGAAGGTCGTTGATTAAAATAAGAAACAATTTAAGTCCAAGGATAGAGACCCAGGGAGTATGCACATTAATAAATATTTCATATGGGCATTATTTTGTGGTTTGATAGAATTTTGCATTGGGTTTCTGTTTTCGAGTGTATGTTCTTCACGGGTCGGTGGGTGAACTGTCGATTGCTATTTAAGTATCAATCATATAAAAAACAAAACTAGAAGCGGCCACTTCGATGAGATGTAATCGTTACCAATTAGACATTGAGGTTATTTTGCTTTGAATCAATGCATGAAAACTGATTTCTGTATTTATTTTAAGATTCTTGAACGTCCTTTCATCATTTAGAAAATACATTGATTTTTTCTTGAGAATGACATTCGAGCAGCAATATTTATATCAGTCCTAATCTAGTGGCTGTAGTAAATTGATTAGTAAAAGAGCTCAAAGTTTATTCTTCAATTCAATTGTTATCCCAGTATTTCTGATGTGAAACTGAACTCTTCTTCTCTACAATTGTCATGCTTGCATCTTGTTTCATATGAATCATATTCTGTGAAATATGTTTATTAAATGTTTGCCGTAGTAATTAAGAGAAAATAAATGTTTAAAGGTTAATTAATTACAAAATAAAAGTATTTTAAATTGTTTTTAATTTGTTTGAAAATATGTTATCTTATGTCTAAGTTTTTGTTAAAAAAATTATGCAAAACGCCGAAATAGAAGAACGATGAACAAAGGTCAATTACCTGCGATTTTCGTATCGATAATGTAAGTGATACCAATCAGAAGGCACAAAGGAGAATATCCTTGGGTCAGGTTTCTCCCACCCAAGATGGAAGCCACAAGCACCATTCGAAGGGTAAAGGCGACTCCTGCTGATCAAAAACATTATATTGTTCTTAATATTTAAGACGAGAAATAATTGAAATACAAATTTATTCGAACTGTTATCCCCATCTTGTTTGTTATACCAAACATATCAGCCGCTGTACTCTCTGGTCTTCTCTGTGTGTCTGTCGTAATCGATAACCTTCTGCGAATTTTGAACCGAATCATTTATTCCAAAACCCGAGGAAAATGTTTCCATTTTGCTAGAAAACAATCTCGTATTGTATAATTTCGATTTATTAATTCATCCCTCTGGTCGCGTTTCTGATCTTTCACTGAAAATTAGTATATAAATTTCACTGCCTGACAAAGCGATTGATCTTGCAACCACCAGCAAACCAAAATTTTTCATTGACTGTATTAAAATCGTTTTTGCATAAAGTTTCACTGATTCTGTTAAATGAGTACAAACGGCATTACAAGGACGAATTAAGTAAGAATTAACTATAATTAAGTATTAATGAATTAACTTCTCAAACCAGGAAAAAAGATTTGATAATTATGTAGATGTTTTATCTGGAGAGTTTATGTAGCAATCTCCAATGTCATACATTGCCAAAAACTTTTGATATATATTGCTCCCGTCTTGAAGATATCACAAGCTCTTTACTTATTCTGCGTGTAACGGTAATTATGACACGAGTAGTTGATTTAGAGGAGTGAAACCCATACCGATCAAGAGGTTGTTTCTGGATAAATGGGCAACAATTTCCTGAAGATGAGACTCGAAACCACGGAAATGTGGTTCTACAGAAGGATGCTAAGGATACCACCAGACGAACATGTGAGAAATGACGAGGTTTTGGAAAGAATGGAAACAAAAAGAAAACTACTTAAAATCAGGAAGAGGTAGTTGACATTTCTGAGACACGTAATGAGGAAGGAATTGAGAAAAAAATTTTTATAATTAGACAGACTTTGATAATAAGGCACAGATGCTTTATCTAGAGAGTTTGTGTAACAATCCCCAATGCTATACATTGCCAAAAACCTTTGCTATATGTAAGACAATTTCACACGCCTTGAAGATATCACAAGTTCTTCACCGATTTTGCATGTAACGATAATTATGACATCAGCTGTTTATCTGCTCATGAGGTTGTTTCTAGTTAAATGAACAACAATCTCCTGAAGAAGAGATTCGAAGAAACAGAAATTTTTTTTTTCTAGTGAAGAATGCTAAGAATACCATGGGACGAATATGTGAACAATGAGTGAGATTTTGGGGAGAATAGAAACAAAAAGCAAACTTTACTTAAAATCAGGAAGAGGTAGTTGAAATTTCTGAGACACTTAATGAGGAAGGAAGGCTTAGAAAATCTGATACACACAGGACAGATAGAGGGAAAGAGGAACAGAGGAAAGCAACGTGTGACATACTTGATCAAATAGATGGCAGAAAAGGGTTTGGGAGAAATAACAAAAAGACAAAACATATTAAGAGCTACAAGGGAGAGGAAGATGTCCAAAATAGACCAAAATATAATCCTTCTATATTTCTAATCGCATATCCTACCAACGTCTTTTTCTCCAGGAACGCTGCAGAAGGCCAAAAATTGGAAGCACTGGTATAAATTCAATTCAGGACTGGTGCACGAAAGATGCAAAAACAACTGATAGTAATGGAAATGCATGACACAACAGAACAGATATCACATGTTACAAAAGGAAACAGGTGAAGAAGGTCGAAACGTTGTAAAGAAAAAGGAACATACAATTAAGAGAATAACAGAACGACATGTCTGAAGAAAATCAGACAAAAATGGAAAGAATTGCATTTGTTTCTCACTATACGCCATTACAAATAGCAAAAGGGGATACGAAAATGAAGAAAGAGAAAAGAATAGAGGGAATGTAAATCAGACAAAAATGGAAAGAATTGCATTTGTTTCTCACTATACGCCATTACAAATAGCAAAAGGGGATGCGAAAATGAAGAAAGAGAAAAAGAATAGAGGGAATGTAAATCAGACAAAAATGGAAAGAATTGCATTTGTTTCTCACTATACGCCATTACAAATAGCAAAAGGGGATACGAAAATGAAGAAAGAGAAAAAGAATAGAGGGAAATAAATCAGACAAAATGGAAAGAATTGCATTTGTTTTTCTCACTATACGCCATTACAAATAGCAAAGGGATACGAAAATGAAGAAAAAAAAAAAAAAAGAGGAATAAATCAGAAAAAATGGAAAGAATTGCATTTGTTTCTCACTATAGAAAATTACAAAAGCAAAAGGGAAACGAAATGAAAAAAAGAAAAGAATAGAGAATGTAAATCAAACAAAATGGAAAATAAAGAGAAATACGAAAACAAAACAAAAATACGAAAAAAAAAAGAAAGAATGTAAAAAGACAAAAATGGAAAATTGATTTGTTTCTCACTAATGAAAAAAAACAAAGGGAAACGAAAATGAAAAAAAGAGAAAAAGAAGACAAGGGAAATGAAAAAGAAAAAAATAGAAAAGAAAAGACAATTTGTTATGATACTATACGAAAGACAAATAGCAAAAGGAAATGCGAAAATGAAAAAAGAAAAAGAATAAAGGAATGTAAATCAGACAAAATGGAAAGAAAAAAATTGTTTTTCTCACTATGAGAAATTACAAATAGAAAAAGGGATACGAAAATGAAGAAAAGAAAAAGAATAAAAGTCTGTAAAAAAGACAAAAATGGAAAGAATTAAAAAAAAATGAAAAGAAAACATTAGAAATGAAAAAAAAAGAATACGAAAATGAAAAAGAAAAAAGAATAAAGGGAATGAAAAATGACAAAAGAAAAAAGAAAGAATCAATAGAAAATGAGAAATGAAGAAAAAAGAAAAAGAATAGAGGAATAAATGAAAAAATGGAAAGAATGTCTAATTGAAAAAAAGAAAAAAGAGATACAAAAAAATGAACGAAAAAAGAAAAAGAAAAAATGAGAAATGAAGAAAAAATGATTTACACTCATAAATGAAGAAAAAGAATTTAACAAAGAGAAATGAAGAAAAAAAATGCCTAAAAGAAATGAACGAAACAGAAGAAACAATTGAGAAAAAAAAAGCAAAGGGAAAAGAAATGAAGAAAGAGAAAAAGAAAGAGGGAATGTAAATCAGAGAAATGAAGAAAAGAATTGAAATTTAAATCAGAAAAATAAATAAAAAAGAATTACAAATGAGAAATGAAGAAAAAGAAAAACAGAAAAAAATGAAAGAAACAGAATAGAAAAATTGAAAAATGAAGAAAAAAGAAAAATTAAAGAATTGATAAATGAAACGAAAAAGAAAATATACTGAGAGAAATGATAAAAAAAAAAAAGGGAAATGAAAGAAAAAATAAAACGAAACAGGAAACAAAAGAAAAATGAAAAAAAAAATTTAAAAACAATAAAAAACGAAAAGAAAATCTAAAATTGAGAAATGAAGAAAAAAAAGCCTTAAAATAAATGAACGAAACAGAATGAACAATTGAGAAATGAAAAAAAAAAATCCTAAAAAATAAAAAAACGAAAGAGAAATCTAACAATTGAAAAAATGAAAAAAAAAAAAAGAAAACACTCATAAATGAATTAAAAACAGAAAAGAATAAATGAGAAATGAAGAAAAAAAAAATACACTAAATAAAGAAAAGAAACAGAAAAGAATTGAGAAATGAAAGAAAAAAAAAAACTCATAAATGAACGAAACAGAATCTATACAATGAAAAATGAAAAAAAAGCCTAAACTCATAAAAGAACGAAACAGAAAAAACAAGAAAGAAATGAAAAAAAAAATACACTCATAAATGAAGAAAAAAGAATCTTAAAATTGAGAAAGAAAGAAAAAAAAAAAGAAAAGAAATGAGAAAATGAACGAAACAGAAAAAACAATTGAGAAAAAAAAAAAAAAAAAGCCTACAAAGAAAAAAAAATAAACAAAAAGAAATAAAAGAGAAATGAAGAAAAAAAAAAATGAAGAAAAAAATGAACGAAACAGAAAAACAAAATGAGAAATGAAGAAAAAAAGAAATGACAAACAAAAATGAACGAAACAAAAGAAATGAGAAATGAAAGAAAAAAAAAGCCTAACTCATAAATGAACGAAAAGAATGAACAATTGAGAAATGAAAAAAAAAAAAAAATTACATAAAAAGAAAAACAGAAATTACAATTGAGAAATGAAGAAAAAAAAATAAAATAAATGAACGAAAAAGAAAGAAAGAAATTGAGAAATGAAGAAAAAAAGCCTAAAAAAATAAATGAAAAAAAGAATCTTACAAAAGAGAAATGAAGAAAAAAAAAGCCTACACTGATAAATGAAAAGAAAAAGAATCTTAAATTGAGAAATGAAGAAAAAAAAATAAGAAAAACTCATAAATGAACGAAACAAAAAAAAACAAAAAGAAATGAAAAAAAAGAAGAAAAAAGAAACGAAACAGAAAGAAAAAGAAAGAAAAAAAAAATGAAGAAACAGAAAGAAAAGAAAGAAAAATGAGAAATGAAAAATGATGAAAAATTGAAAAATGAAGAAAAAAAACTAAAATAAATGAAAAAAAAAGAATCTTAAAAAAAATGAAAAAAAAAAAAAGAAAATAAATGAACGAAAAAGAAAAACAATTGAGAAATGAAGAAAAAAAAAAGCCTAGATCATAAATGAACGAAACAGAAAACAATTGAGAAATGAAGAAAAAAAGCCTTAAAGAATAAATGAAACGAAAAAGAATTTTAGAAAAAGAAAAAAGAGAGAAAAAGAAGCCTAAAAAAAAATGAACGAAAGGAAGAATTCTGACAAAAGAGAAAAAGAAAAAAAGCCTAAAAAATAAATGAATGAAAAGAAAATGAAAATTGAGAAATGAAGAAAAAAAAAAATAGAAAATGAAAGAAACAGAAAAAAACAATTGAGAAATAAAAAAAAAAAATGAAAAACTCATAAATGAACGAAAACAAAGAACAAATGAAAAATGAAAAAAAAAGCCTACAAAAAAAGAAAAAACGAAAACAGAAAAAAGAAAAAATGAGAAATGAAGA